GAAGTTAATTGGAGAATCGACAAAAATGTCAATAAGATAGCACTACAAGAAACCTCAATCAGATTTTAATTTCTGATACTCCTGCAGCTGGAAAAAATTAAACTAACTAATTTCCCATGTTAATTTCCTATATCCAAGCCTGCTTGGGACACCCGGTATAATAAAGACCCTAATCGATTTTTAGATGCAACCCAAAATACATTCTCACAGATAACTTGGCTTTTGTTGCGTTTGCAATGTTTAAGTTATTAATTTTAAATCAAAGTGATTGTTGATATGTCATAAGATAAATTTGACAGTGTCATCAATTCCACTTTTTTCCTCTTGAATTCGAAATGTAYTCAAATGACAAAAAAAGTAACATGATCTTATTGATATGTAGAGAATGTCACAAAAATGCTGTGGCTAAATCTGTACCGTCAAAAGTACACCGTAGGAGGCAAAGTCAAAATAATCGCAGATATCTATGCTTATAACTTAAAAAAAATTCAAACAGTACAGGGTGCTGCATTTTGGATGTCCGAATAGGGAATCTCCGAAACTAAGAGGTCTAGCCAAAAACGAGTAATACATTCTGGGGCTTATTGTTTGAGAAAATAATATTGGTTAAAACCCCAGCCCGCCAGCGTCTTTTGTTTTCGACTTACAGACAAAAATTGATATTTTATCGAAATCTAAAAAAATTTATATCTTCGTTATTATAGAAGACACAGATTTGAAATAAAGACATTATACAGGCACTTTTTTATGTAGAATTTAATAATGTAGTTAACATTTTTTTTCAGTTGTTTGTTTAGCCGTAATAAAATAAACTTTTATTTTTTTAAATGGGAGTCATAGATATGTTATTTTTAAAAAGCTTGTTTTTTTCTTATCTAAAAAATATATATTTGTAAMAACTTATTATAATACATTTTTAGCAAAAWATTATATTTGATTTTTTTTCGCAGTTGGCCATGAAAAAATGTTGCATCTTCAACTAAAAGGATTTAAACTATATTATTCAACCAGTGTCACTAATGAAAGAGTTTTCTAAGTACTAAGTAATGAAAAAAATGCAAAATAAATCGTAATCATAACTTCTTCGCGACTAATAACATTTCTTTGTTTTTGAACAAGCTAACATTACCATTTTAACTTCTAGTGATACACAGAGTGTTGTATAAAAAAGCCGCTTTAATTCTTCAATAAAATATATTTTGTATGACACAAAAATGACGATATGGCTWGTCAAATACCCAAATTCCGTCTATATGTGAAACGTTATCCTACCTCTATTAGATCATCAAAAAAATGTTTTTTCTAATTGTGTTGACTAGTGACACATTTGTTTTTCCTATTTTTATATTTTTAAAAAATATATAATAATTTTGTTCTGAGGCGCTCGCATATTTGTTCAATACTTCTAACATATCGTATTTTTTAATTTTTTTAATTTTATATATTTTTTCATCTATTTTACAGTTCACAAAACT